GACGATGAGATATTAGGTCTGGCGAGGGACGACCGTCAGAGGATCTCGAAACGAAACAGTGCATCATACGGTGCATTTCTGCTTAATATACCACCCACGTTAAAAACATTCCATAAGAATGTCAGTAACGTCCTCCGCGGCCCGGGAATCCCATCTATTCCTTCGGTTTACGAACGGCTCCCAAGAAAAACCATGCAATTACTTGCCAGGGTTCTCTTTCGTTTCCACGTTCCTTCCAATGGGTTCTGTTAACAATTTGACGAGCGTACTCCTCGCCAATCCTCTAGTTTTGCGCTTTTTTTTATATTTAGTCAAGATTTGATTATATTGCTATTACAGTAGACGCTTGATAATTTCCTGTTGGGACTGCTTAAATACCAAATGAATATGTATTTGTGTCGCAAAAATAAATAAATTCTGAAGAATTCTTGATAATTTCCAAATGCAGGCAATTATCGAGCTGCATTTAATTATTTCGCTATTATAGTAGATGCTCGATAATTTCCTGTTAGAAATGCTCAGATAACCAATAAACATATAGTTGTTTCACAAAAATAAATGAATTCCAAAGAATACTCAATAATTCCCCAATGCAGGGAATTATCAAGCACTTACTGTTTTACATGTAGTGACCCAACGCAAGACGTTCATATTTCAAAATAACAGCCGTTGGAAATATTCATAAAATTAAAATGAATCGTAAAAAACGAGTTTGAGCTAGCAAAATATCGAGTTGAAAATATATCGATCTTGGTCGATGACGTAGTTTCGATATGTCATCGAGCGTCGTTTCGCACGCGGAAACTGGTTTACACGATGCAACGATTACAAGCAAGATACTAGGAATCCGAAACTCGCAGCTTCTTCGAGAGTCAATGTACCTCCCCACTTTTTAACCAGAGAACGTTGCGACTCCACTACGGGGACCACGCAATCAGATGGTTTTTTTTCAGATTCGCATAAGAAACAGGTATTTGGAGCGGTTAGTGGAAGGTAGCACGTAATGCCAAGATGCCGACGCAAATCCGAATTAACATGAGCCATGTGTACGGGAATAACCAAACCGCTAGGGAATTAGCATTAAATGGCGGATCTCGTTTTATTTTTTCTAGTCTCTTAAACGTTTCAAGGATTTTGCAAATAGCAAGCTTGCGCACGATGTCGGACAATGTTACGCGGGAAAGCTTTAAAGGAAATGGAGATTCTCCGTCAGGTGCCGTTTGCACGAGATAGAACCGTTACCGCCAGCAGGCTGCCACGATTTTTCGAAAAATTCTTACGCACGCATTGAATCCTTTCACTCGTGAATCAAAGGATTCTATAGTTTTTGTTGAAACAAAAAGAAACACTCACCGTGTGTAGACAGCGTCACTCCGAACCGGTGATAATCCACGTGCTGAGAACACACTGGACAACACAAGGTATATACACACAGCCAAAGCACTCGCGACAATGAACTACGATGGCGGAGAGGTATGGTCAGTATCACTAAAACGCGTAAATGAACGATACACGTAACGCGTTGTCCCGATACACACACCGAAAACAAAAAGCACGACAGAAATAAAGACAGAAAAAGCGCGAAGCATACAAAAGGACGTTCGCTCGTGACCGTATCGCGTGCCGGTTGTAACTCTACTCCGGTTCGCTTCGGCTTCGGCGCGACACTCTACCCCCCACCCTGCAAACATTCCCCACCAGCGACGCGACTTCCACTTCCAGTTCGTGTACACTTCCGATCTTTTCGGAAGAGCTCGGCTACTTTCGGCACGATCGGCGGCCCGCAGGGTCAGACGCGTATAAAATGGAGCAGCATTCCTAATTTTATTTTCATTATAAGTAAATTTACGGTTAAATTTTTGAATATTAATTTTGACTTGCGTACATACATCCAACTTTCCGCGTGCGAAACGATGTTCAATGACATATCGAAACTACGTCATCGACCAAGATCGATATATTTATATTTCGAATGTTTCTTAATCTGAATGTTAAAATTGACGGATAATTTCCTAATGAAATATTCTATTGAGATTGGATTTATTATAGAGTGTGGGAAGTAAACAGTAAAGAAAAATGGAAAATTTAAATATTTTATTTAGAAAATTACATTTATCACGTTACTGTCTTCTCGCTCTTATTGTCACCATTTTCTGAGAGTGTATCTTTCTTTAATTCATAAATCTGAAAATGCAAAAACATAAAAGATACTTATTCAAACTATAAGAAGAAAAATTATGGTATAAATACGTACTTGTATGTATGCTTCGGTCAAGGTTATCATCTGGGGTAGAATTTGAGTCACATGTAAATCTTGCATTTCATACCACTGACCAGTAGCTCTGTGTAAAATGTGTACCCTATATGTTCCCTGACCAGGCTCGCCATCGTGAACTATATTTGCAACTAGGTCATATGTTGTATATGGATGTCTTTGTTTCACTTCAGGTGTTAAAATATCACCAAAATCTACATTTCTGTAACGTGTAGATATTGGAAAATCAATTGATCATATCTTTTCTTGAGATATAAAAAGCAATGTTATAAGAATGACTTACTTAACCGGAAAGTTAACTATGGTGGGATTTTTTTCTACGAAGAACGTATTTTTTGTAAACCTCTGAACAAAAAAAAGTTTATTATACTGAGTAACTCATAAGAGTTAGATATATTAAATAAAACTTACCTTTATATAAAGTATAAGATAAGGTGGAAGTTCTGTTATTTCAAATCTTTTCATAAAATTCTCCTTATAAGTTTTGTATTCTTTCTCGGTTACAGCATTAAATTTATTCAACAATGTATACAAGTTAACCTAGAGAAATAAAAAATATCTTATTGCGTTCATGATATTTATATTAAATGAATACTAACTTGAGGGATAATATTTTCAGTAAACTGGTCCTTAAAAAGAGGTGGTGGAGGAAGATCACATGTTAGGTACAAAAATGGACTTTCTGTTACAGTTTCGCCGTATTCTACAGTATGAAGCAGTTCACTTCTTTGACTTTCGTCTAATTCAAGAGGTGGTATTTTTCGTGTGTATATACGCATATGACCCAAGAATGTTTTGTACACTATACTAGAATCACGCTTTTTGGTACCATTTAATGCTAAATGAAGAGCATTCATAAACCATGACAAAAAGTCAATTGGATCACCTAAAAAACATATCCTTTATATGCATTAAACTTAACATCATAAGTGTTTTCTTGTAATAATATATTATATACCCTGTTCTGTAAATTGAAATCTCTTTTTGCTCCATAATACAACAGCTTGCAACATTTCGTGTGGACTAACATGAGCTTTAAAATTACGTGGATTCCATAGTTTCCTCATTAATTCTCCAAAACGTTGAACTAATAGATAAGAAGAATCACCTGGTGGTCTTTTTACATGGGAATAATTAGATTCTCTTAAGAAAAAGTCTCTTAAAGGTGTGACATGAGAAAGTGCCTGTAAAAATTAATTATTATGATCCTGATAAAATAAACAAGCAACTATAAGTATCTGGAATTAACTTACTTGTAAAATAACATTACAGTAATCATTTGCTTTGATATTATTCATTCCCACAATACCTGGAGAATACAATGAACCATCAATGGCTCTAGATAATTTATCACTTTTATCCAATTGGCCAATTTGTGCTTTATCAAATGTGGGATTTAAAACATACTTTATGTCATCCAATGATGAATCTAAATATTAATTATTTATTATTGAATACAAATACATTTTAATAAACACAAAATGAGAAAATGATAATGATGATCGATTACCAATTATCTCATAATTGTCAGGTAGACAATAAAATTTCAATGTGTGAAGATTAAGGAATACATGATGACTTTCTGCTACACTATGTGTATATGCATGAGTATTAGTACCTCTGCCTTGGAAATACTTTCCACATACAAGGCAGGCATATACATTAATCCTTGACAATGATACTGAACACAATTTTTCAAAATCAAAGTCCAGAAATTGACGATTTATTGTATCCAAGTAGGGACACAGTCTTGGTGCGTCCAAATTTGTTTTGGCGATCTTAACATTTCCTGTAAACAAAGTAACGACATTGAATCTTAACCTACGTTTAGGTTAAGAACTTTATTGAAATATAACATATACAGTTGTGAAAATTTATATTCATCTGATTTAGTATAAGCTTCATTAAAGCTGAAAGAAACAGTGTTCCACGAAAAAACAACGATAAATCAATGTTTAATGATTAAAATAAGAAAGAAAATATCTAACCTTAAAATTCATGTATGTAAACAAACTTCAAACCTTTCATTACCTTTGTAACTAATATTTAAACCTATAAACAATAAAAATTTTAAGGAAGTGTGATTAAAAGTACTCACTGTCATTTTCTTCATCTAAATTATTCTTTTGTTGCAATAATTTTCGTTTTTGTTGATTTCCCTGTTTATTCGTCGCCATTTTTATTAGAAATCAGTATAATTCACTTTTATGAAGAAATATTTGTTAAATAAAAGTTAATACTGCTAAACTGTATACTTCTTTATTAAATTACATACATTTAATTAACATATAAGTAAAAATAACATTGATGATTTCTAGTTTCCCTATATTAAAACGGAATATATAATGTTAATTTGCAATTGTATTAATTTATTTCAATATAATTTATTATAGATCTTTGATTCAGAAAATATTGATTTTAATTTTAAGTGAAGTATTAGAAAATACTTTACATATTTGTCTAAAATACTTTTATAGTCTCTTAATATACAAGTTCTATCATTAATTCTTTGTATTCATCGGCGCATCATTTAAAAATGTTGGATGAAATTTTAATAAGAAATTGATTCTGTCATCTCAACAAATACTTTTTGGAAAAATATATTTTTCAAAAGTATAGTTCCAAAAACTTGTCGATCTGCGATAACTCGCAAATTGATCGAAAAAATGTTTGCCACGCCATCTACAAAGCAAAATTCTTTAAAGATGAAAAGAGAGCAACCTAAAGCAATTCCCCCCCGCTGCGGGTGCCACGACTGATTGCAGGAGGTTTCGCGATGGTGTGAACACAGATTTATTTGACAAATATCCCCGGATAATGCATATCTTTAAAGTAGAACAGTTTTGAACTGAAGATCTACAGTAGGCACATTAAAGAAATATCGTAATGCGTGACACAAGTTTACTAATTCACGTAAAAGACATTTGTCATTGGATCTTTTAAATTAAAACCGGATCGGGCCTTGAGTCGCTCTTTAGTCTGGCAACAAGACGATCTCTGTTCGGTTGATATGGCCGTCGTTGAGGAATTTGATTATTTATGTCGTCTATGTGCGACTAAAACGGGCATTCTAATGGGATTACCGATTTTCGAAGCCGGCGATCAAATGCGCAACATTGACAAGAAAATAGCCGCGTGTTTGCCAGTACAGGTAAAATCATGCGTAAAGATAGAGGTACAATTTCATTGCAATCTTCACTGCTCTGGTCTTCACCCCCTCTTTCTAATTTAACTATAAATAGAGGAAGAAAATTAGTGCAAGGTTTCACGTTCTTATAACAAAAGACCAGGGTATATGCTAGGCATTTAACTACATACGCGATTGAAAGAAGGCTAATGATTATGATGTTAGTTAATATTGTCTTTCAACAGATATCAGTGTTATCAATTGATTAATTATTTTTAGGTATCTATGACTGATCAATTACCAAAAGTAGTGTGCGAGGAATGTGCTTATAAATTGGACCAATTATTTGATTTTCGTGAAAAATGTTTACACACTGAAGGGATGTTTATGGAAATGCTAAAAGAAATTGCCAAGGGAGAAGTTGTTCGTATATCGAAGCAGGATTTAGAAGAAGTAGAAGAAATGAATAGAATTCAAAGGAATATCGATAGAATACAGAATAATATTGAAAATGTACAAAATCATGTAAATTCTCAAGAAACAGAAGAAACTGCTATACATACCATGCAAGTCATGGATGAAATAGACTTAGCAGGTGGTGAACAGGTTGTCACGCAAGAAGAAATTGGACAACAGGATACCGATATTGAAGTCACAGGTATCGACTGTTTAGATGGAGATACTGTCAGAATGGTGGATGAACATATACGAGAAGTAAATGAACAACCTTCTTTTTGGCTCAAATATGGTTACTGAAATAAATTGTACTATATTTATTACAGTAATATTTTGAACAGAAATATTTGTCAAATATGTTTCTCATTGAATTTACTCATTCATATTTTTATGTTGCAGGTTTCTAATCACCAGATAGCAATGCATCTGGAGGGAGATATGACTGTAGTTGGAAACTTAACAGTTAGTGGTCACTTGAGTCAGTTAGGAATAAATTATGTAACTTCAATAAATCCTGAGGATCAAAGTCGTGAACAAATAGTACATTATTGTGATAATGTAAAATACGAATCTGTACCAATTAAACAAGAGTATCATAGGTTGCACGATAGATTGACTACAGAAAATCCTACGAATATACTTGAAAATAATGTGAGTTATTTCAAATTATGATATTAATTTCATTCAAAAATAAAGTTTTTATAAAAATAATTTTATGGTCTGTAGGTACCACATGAAAGTTTTTCTTCTGCTCAACAAGAGACTACAAATGATCTGGAAGAATCGCGTATAGTTGAAAGTGAAACTCCCGTACATACAGCTTCTCAAACAAATACTTTGGCATCAACAAGTCAAGTAACAGCGGGAAATCCCGAAATTTTAGTTGAATATACAAAAGAAGCGAAAAATGCATTATTAGAAACGACATTAAATAATCCTACCGTTGACGAAACAGGTTCACACTGGTACGTGTGCCCATTTTGTAACGAAGCAACGTTAGGATCGAGTAATATGATAGCACATTTTGAACAGTACTTTTGTTACTGTCCCTGTGAATTGTATTTTACAAGTGTGGATGCGCTAAATGTACATAAAGAGGGATGTGATGTACATAAAAATAAGGTAGTCAGTAATGGAAAAGAGGTCACAGAACCAGAATTAACGCCTTCACAAAACGATACGAGTATAGAGGAGAAAAAGCAAGCAACAATGAGACAAAAGTGGACTCCAAAAGTTTGTACCCACTGTGGCAAACAATATAGGACGAATTATAAATTGCAAGAGCACATGAGAAAACATACTGGTGAAAAACCTTTTCAGTGCGTCACTTGTGAAAAAGCATTTCGTAGTAAAATAGGGCTTGCACAACATACGGCCACGCATACAGGACAATTTGATTACAATTGTTCCACGTGTGGCAAAGGTTTCCAGTCTAAAAGCTATCTTGTCCTTCACCAAAGAGTACATTCAGATTTAAAACCCTTCCCGTGTAATACATGCGGACAACATTTTAAAACGAAACAATCCTTGTTAGATCATCAGAACAGGCATCTCGGTGTTAAACCTTATGTCTGTGAGATATGTGGTAGAGGTTTTATAACTAAAGGACTCTGTAAAAGTCATCAAAAAATACATTCAGGCATGGATAACCGGCAGTATCCATGCGTGGTATGTAATAAAATGTTTGTTAGTAAAAGTTACCTTAACACGCATCTACGTATTCATACTGGTGAGAAACCTTATTTATGTGAAGTTTGTGGTAAAGGATTTTTAACTCGAGTTGATCTCAAAATTCATTCAACCATGCACACTGGAGAGAAGAGTTTTAAATGCGACATGTGTGGAAAAGTGTTTGCCAGAAGAGCTGCGTTGAGGTGTCATAGAAGGTTGCATACAGGAGAACGACCTTATAGATGTGACGTGTGTGGTAAAACCTTTACACAATTCACTCCTATGGCTATCCATAAAAGATTACACACCGGGGAACGACCTTACGAATGCGATGCCTGTTCTAAGACCTTCGTGTCGAGATCAACAATGATGTGTCACAAAAAGAAACATCATAATACACCAACCGTGCAAAAGGACGATACGGTTCCTCGTCAAAATGAAATAAAAAATATCCTACCAGCTGAAATTGTACTTCGAGATTCCCAAGAGGGAATTCAGATTACCGCCGATTGAAATTTACGAAAACAAAGAACGCACGACAGGAACTAAGATATCGAGTCTGCATTTTATAAAGCGGCATTAGTCACCACGATGTATTCCTTTATTGTAGCGTATATGTTGAAATTATATACAAAGAATATATTTTGGAAAATTCTTTGCAAAAATTAATGTTTTTTAAAGTCACTTATACATAGAGTCTAAAACAAATTGTACAATCATTTACATTATCATTTCTTTTTTTTTACATCGGTATAGGTAAATATTTTACCGAATTATATGAAGTATTTTTAAACAATTTATTTTATTTTATTTATAGTCTTACGTATTTTGGAGATAAATGATTTCTATTGATCAAGATATAAGATAATTGTCAACTTTATGTTAACAGAATGGTGAATAATATTATTCATAACCTATTTCAGTCCATATATTATAGGAACTGGTTTCTGGCTTGTAATAATATATTTATCTAATGACGCGTATTAAAATGGATTCTGAAAATCCTTAACATATTGTAAAAACTTAAAAAAGATGCTATACGCAAGTTATTCAAATTTACGATCACACCATATATTTATACATATGTAATTTTAATGAAGTGCTCGTATTAATCAACAATGATATATTTAAAAAAAATCGAAACGAATAATTTATAACTTATTTTTTAACGTGTTTGTAAAAAATCAATGCATATTGTTAATAAAATAACATGGACGTTATTTATTTAAAAACATGTTGAAATATGTTGTGAAATATTCTTTTTATTATGTGGACATACGAGAATTCATATTTTGCATTCTGTGTGCACTAAAAATTGTTATGAAAACCTCTGATAAAAAAGAAGATGCAACATTTATTATCTATAATACAAAATATGATTATTATAATCAAAAAAGTGAAAATATTTTCATATCAATCCTAGCAAATCATTGAAAAATTATTTGATAAGTAAAAGGCTGATAGCTACTTCTATTGCAAGGGAGTGCTACGAAATGGTGATTGTATTTCATTAATGACATAATTTTTTTAAATAAACAGAAGAATAGAATTACATATGATCACTGCTATCACAGTGTATATTTCTGTGGCATCTCATTGGCAATGCTCTTTCAAACAGCTTTCAGCACTATACACAGTAGAAATTGTGATATATTATATTAATAAAGTGATTACATCATTTATAAAATTTTGATGATTGTAATATTATTACTGATAAACCCTCTGGATAAAAAATATAAAAAATTTTCAACCACGTTTAGAATTATTTTAAATTTTATTTACCTATTTTATTAAGACTTATTTGTTTATTTAATAAATGTACACTTTGAATCTCTAGACTGTAGACAAAATATTTTCTTAAAAAGACCGCCACTGGGGTTTATAAATTAGTCAAATTTAGGAATCAGATAAAATACCGTTTTGTAACATTAATTTTCACATTTGGATAATCAAATAATTAAATTATTGATTTAAAACCATCGCTCCACATAATTTTTGCATATAATTTTTCCTAAACGATAATTATATTACATACTTCTTTTTTTCGCGCTTTTTTTTATAGCGACACCTCTGGACTATCGGCGAAATAAAACAACTCATTTTTAGCACTTGACAGTAGATGGCGTCACATGTTTTATCGCTATAGCGGTCATATTAAAATATAGAAATCTCGATCAATTGTCAATATCGATTTATTCAGAAATGAAGCTTTGTACGATAAAATGTTACTCTACAATTTTTCATATAGATTTACCTCCTTACCTCCGACTAGCTGAAAGCATTCCGTATATAATCGAGTATGAACAAAATTAAACAATGGATAGGTAGTTTTAGCATATACATACATATTTAATAATCAAAGGTAGTGGAGGAAGTTTAGAAAGGATAAAATTCGACCATATACGTATTTTTAGCAATGTTAAAGAATATTCTGATCAAAAAGAGAGAACGAGAATGAGGGAAAAATCGCATAATAGATTTGAGATGGAAAATATAAAAAAATTTGAAGAAGGTATGAAAGACTGCGACAAACAGCGAATTCCGAAAATAATGTCTAGCCGTATCAGAAGAATTCCATAAAATGACGAAGATTCATAGAAATTGAAGAAACCGCTAATACCTACAAAGTGAATGAAAAAAAAAATTGCGATTTCCAATAATTTACAAAATACCACGAAACCTTGTACCATTTTCCTTACCATTATACTTTTTTAACATTTTTTACAAACTATCCTGTGAATAATTTTTCAATTTTTTATATATGTTATCGCATTGTCCTCCACAGTTTTATTGGTATTGTTAGCTTTTAAATTCTAAGAATTTTGTCGATTTAAGAAATTACGTTAAATATCATCTGCATAATTGTTCGAATTTGACGTCATTTTTTAAATCGACGAAATTCTCAGAATTTTATAAGCTGACAGTACCACTAAAACTGGAGAACAATGCCATTCGCAAGCCTCTCGTTTTCTCTGAAAGAAAAATTTACCGTCGTACATAAATAATGACACAGGACGAAAGAACGAGTCAAAGAGGGGACAAAGAAGAGAAATAAAACTTGAACCCTTGTTATCACTTTCGAATTGAACGATTCTCTTGTCGATGGTAATCGAATCCACCTAACTTATACGACGAACTACGCGTAGTGCAGATATTTATCGATATCCGTCGCATAATTACCATGGTAACGCAATGATAAAACGCTATCTGTGTTTGATTTGCTATTCAGCCTCGACTACCGGTACTCCTGAGGGAATCCTCCATACTTGGTGTATGTTTGGTAATATTCACACGTGGCAAACTGCACATTGCATGTGTACATATACCGATCGATTAGATTTCTAGTAGGATTCTCTATTTCCATCAAATCGGAGGAGAATCGTCGTCCTGTTATAGATTTCTATCGATCACTCGAGATTGAGAAGGAACACAACAAACATAGGCTAATCGGTCTGCTAATTGGGATCGAATAGGATTTCTCGGAAATCGGATGATTTAGCTTGTCTGATTTACTGGTACATTCTAGGGGAAAAAAATCGGTTTGCACGGAGGTTGTTTGATGTTGTGATGGAGGACTCATGTTGTGGCTAGGAACTTACATGATTTGTATTAAAATTTTGGTAAATGTATAACGAAAAATATATAAGAATCTGATAATGATATATTTAAGTGCAATGTGGGCTTTTTGATTATGAGAAAAGGTAAGGGTAGAAATCTTGCACCATTTGTTTTTGCCTTGAGAGAGCCTAAGGAGAACTTCCTATCTCCCTAGATAAAGTATATGTAAAAATAATACAAATAATAAGAAATTATTTTTCTTACACTTTTCCTTAACAAAGAAAAGCCTACATTACTCGAGAATGTACAATCAGCGCAGGTGCGTAAAGCTGTACAACACTGTGCTTCGTGTCGTACGAAGCTCTGTGGCGGATCAAATAATAGTCAAAATTTACTGATTCTATCTACCAAACGCTTTTCTTGCCAAATATTTACATTGTACACAGAAAATCTAGGAGAACGTGTTGCGTATTTCGATTTGCCGGTATTTCCCGATGGATCAACAAAGTAGCGATCTCGAGAAAGGTTTACTATTTGCTCCAAACCCTACGTGTTTATCAATTTCAAAATGAGAAGCATGTGTAAATACAGTAATTTAGAAGAAATATCAAGGACGGAGTGTAGAGCACTGGACGGTCCGTTAAGCAGAATGTTCCGTTGTGATTAGACCCTTTTTCGCGTCTAGTGGAAGGTATTGATCATTGACGTGCCATATGACAGAATTTTTGCAATTCTAATATAACAAAATCAAATTTGTATTAAGATATAATTTTGAAGTTTTAGATCTAGGTCTATAAGCTTTAAATACAAATTACAAAATATTTCCAGTATTGGTGGCCCCCTTAAGATAGAGGCATAATTATATTTTCTGGTATTTTAGATACACGTTATAAATTTATTTATAAAAAATTGTATTTGTTAATGATTACCGACGTTACGAATGTTGGAATGTTCGTATTGGTTGGGGGGAGGGGGGGTAACCAGGGTTAGCTCCGGATGGCCATCTCTGAAGCGTCAAACGAAAAGGGATAACTACAGTGGCGCCGCGATCGGTCAAAATTCGAACGAAAGCTTGCGCCGGACCGCGCAGATCGTCCTCAGTAGTTGCCCAGACGCTGTCACGGGCGTAGCTGGATGCTGGGTTGTCTCTCTCTCTCGTGCGCGCGCGTGTCGCAGGGAGGTGCTTCCTTTTCTTCTTCCTCTTCCTCCTAACCTCGTCCTGCGTCGTTTTTTGTAATCGTTCACGGACGCCGGTGGCTACGGATATCGTTACATCCGAAAAACGAGAAGAAGAAAAGGTGCCGGAGAAAAGGGAGGCCGAACGTGAAAGCTTTCCTGCCGGTTGGTGAGAGAGGGAGAGACAGAGCGAGAGAGAGAGAGTGTGTGATTGGGGGGATGAAATAGAGAAGGGTTGAGAAGGAAAGTCAGAGAGAAAGAGAAAGGGGTAACCGGTAAAACGAGAAACAGAGAGATGGGTGAGAGAGAAATAGACAAGTAACGAGGAATAACGAGGAGCACAGATACGGAAGGAAGCTGTACGGGAGGGGAGGAGGAGATGTGTTGAAGTGTGTTCTGTGTATATATGGTGCAGTGCGGTGCTGTGCTCGAGAGAGAGAGAATGGCGTGGTCGGATTTCGCGTGCACCTTGCCGTGACGTCGAAAGGTAAGAATTCTCTTTAATTATTGAATTATTTTCAAGCTCGTTGAACGCCGGTAGTAAACGGGATCTTGTTTCTTATTCGATTGCCCGCCGACAAAGATAATTGGCTTCGATTCGAACGATGATCTGACGGGTCGTTCGCCGGTGCCGCGTGCGCCTCTCTCGTCTGACTTTATCTCCTTGGTGACAATTACGGAGCTCTTTAACGTGTTTCACAAAATGGAATATCGTTTGCCGAATCATTATTCTCGCGTTAGTCTTGTTCATCGATGACTCGTATTATTCGTTGCTTACGGAGTTTTCGTATCGAGTGGATAAACGTGTTCAGATAAATAAATATGGCGGCGTTTAGGGGGTATCAGTCGCGAGGAATTTAGCGCGATTGTACGTTAGAAATGCTGCGTTCTGATTGGTCCAATCGATTCTATCGGATATGGAAACCTGTGACGTTGTACGTGATAAACAATTATTTTTAAATAAGGTTAATTTTAATATATTTATAATTAAATATTCGAAACTTGAAGAATTATTTTGTTTTTATTATTAATATTATTAATATTTAACTTTTGAGCCCAACGAATCGTTTTCTTTTCGTATTTGTTGGAGAATGAAAATAAACTGCTAGTTTATAATTTAGTTTTATGTATTTTAAACATAAAATCATCAGGTATAAATAAGTTTATAGTATAGCTAAGAAAATCAGGTTAGAAAGGAGAAAACTAATATAAGACCCTACATTTTTTTTTTAATCTTATGAAAGTTTTAATTTTGATGAACGTTATTAATACGTTCAGTATTTAATATTCTCATGGTAATTTTGTCGAAGCTGCACTGAATCTTATTAAGTCCGTCTTAGTATTAATTAAATTTTCAAGTGTCAGAAATAATATTAATAATACGTATTTAAAAGATTTCAAGTGATAAGTAACTAGTAGTTGATTCTTTCTACGGTTTAAAAATTATAACACAAACATTCTTTTGCAATTGATTCTCCATGTCGTAGCACAGTTTAAGCAGTGAATGAAACATTGAATGAATTTCGTGACCACCTTCAATGATTTCACACAGTAAACACAACTCGCAACAAGCGAATTAGGTAAACATTGTCGACCTGTTTCCGTATCGTGAAGTATCAACAGCAAGCTCTATTACTGCTTTCTCTGTTTCCAAAAATATTGCCAGATTTAAATGTAGTTAAAAGCAGAGCTATTTGTTTAGAAAATTTTAAAACATATATTCACGTGAATTTTGTAATTTATTGTCAGCGAATTTAATGAGCCTTGCTAATTGATTTTCTGTATTTTGTACATTTTGTTTATGTAGCTTGGTCAAAATGATCCATCCGCTACTAAAATGTTAATCTCCTTAATGTTACCTGTTACAGCTGAAAGTTCCCTACATATTCAGATACGTTATAATTGCAATTACTCGACATACGAGCTTCTGTAAATAGCATAATTTTAATCTCTTAAAAATCTTTAATATTCGAGGGCAACGGAGAGCTTGTTAATCCTCGGACGCGGACCATGAAGAGAGTCCCAATTTTAATTTAATTTTGTATTCCATACCATTTTTTGTAATTTTCGCACTGTTTCTTTAAAAATTACATTTTCAACTTTGAGTCAATATTCTTGTATGTTTTGAAATTTTGGGTCAAAATTGGCCTAGGCTTCGCTGTTCGAGGGTTAATTGTTTATATTAGTACATACCGTACCATGCATGACTGTATCTACTTATTGTGTCCAACAGTGTGCTCGACTTACAAACGAAGAGATGAAAGCGTTCGGTGATTAATATCGACGTTTTTCCACTTAAACTGTAACGTTGAATTTTCATTTTAATTGGACGGAACAAGGTGTAGGTGGAAAATTGTTTTGACGAGCACGTGCGGTGTAACGCGATCCCATACGAGTTACCTGAAATGCATCCTGATATCGAAGCTATTGTAATGTTTATATCATCTGCAAACAAATGTAGCAACCATATGTAGTTAGAGAAATTTTTCATTTGCTTTGGGATTAAATTTCTGCAATCTGATAAAAGTTGTCCAATCGTTAAAATGAATAGATTTTGTTACCTGATATATTTAGTGAAACAGAATGTAGTATCGAGATTTAAACTTTCAGTATTTCATACAATTTTTCTGAATATTGAAGCATTATTAGTATTTATACATTCATATATGAAACTACATACTATTAATACACCGGTTGCCGCAGTAGAACAAGCCATATGTAGTCAGTCATACCAAAACTGCAATTATTAAGGATATGGTTAGTTAATTTCCAAATATATGCTTATAAATGGACGAGTTAACTCGCTATCCTTGCTGCAGAAGCATTGTGCAATGACGAGTTAATTGGTCAGGTCCAGTTAAAAGGTTGAAGAATATACTACTTATTTTTCTATGATGGCATAATTAGAAACTAAAGTTCTGTGTAAAATTTAGTTCTTTGTCTAGTAAACAGCTAATTGATCGATGATAATTATAACGCGGTTATAGATACTGTTCCGAGGACAAAATCTAAAACGTTTCAACAGCTGTCTCCGTTAATTCCATTACAGACGTCTACGAGACGATATTAGGACGTATTCCCGTATGTTGTAAACTATACCCTGGCTGCAACCTAACTACGTTATCACCGTACGTTAGGTGGCCGTTTGTGACGTTGATAAGCATGTGTCAAGCATACGTTGTGGCAGCAAAATGGGAAGCTTGTTAGACAGCTTCATGTGAACGTTTCAAAGCGTCTCATCGTCGATGCTTTTAGTTGGTCAGGACGAAATTGCTTGTGTCCTTTCCATCAGGAACAACGTGTTCTGTTTAATTCTCATAGGATTGCGATCTCAAACTTGAGTTAAAGAGTGCAGGAAATACATAATTACTGTATTATTTTTATGTGTATTACCTACCTGTATTTCACTGGAATATTTTTTGTATTTCACTGAAAATTATCGCGAAATATTTTGGCCCTTTTTGTTTTTATTTCAATTATACATTAAACTTTATGTCTCTATTTGGAATTTTCATGTGGTCTTCGACTAATTAATTTGCAGATATTTTATAACTCACATGGACATTTGCCTTTCATTTATTTATTTCTCAAAATTTCATTTCTAATATATTTGTATATAATATATTATCCTACTTTTTTATTTCATTGATCATCAGGTTCAGTGATAATGGAGCTAACCTTGTTCCCTTTAGAGAAGTTATCTCATTATTATTCATTCAAAACTTCGAAGCTAAAGCTTCAACGTCAATCATGGAAAATGTCAATGTCAACGTAGAAAAAGTTTTCTTCGTCGTATTTGCGATATAGGGATTTCGTTGAACCATGTTCAAAAGGCAACTTTCAGCCCTTGTGAAAACTGTGAACCGAAGGGGTGAAAGTTAACACGTTGTTTGCCGTGGAGGTCACTGATGATCTGGTTAGGTTCATTGCTGATTAGTAAATTCCCTAATAAATAATAAGTTTCTTGTTTTCCATTATGGTCAAATGTTTATCAGGAATTATTGGAATGAAGTGTGGCTCGATCAATCTTACCTAAGAGAGAAAGAGAGAAATGTATCTACTTCCCAGGCTGTTTCCATTTCTCTCTTTCAATTCGATCGAAAGCCATGTTTCGCCGGATGTTCATCCGTTTAAGTGACCCGCCGTCGCTTTCGAACCGTTTCAAGTTTGTCGTTGCACTCGGTAAGAGAAGTTCAAGGATTGGAACCCTGGTGTCTCGGGCTTTAAGAGATCGATACGGCGGGGCATGTAAGCCATTCCAATAAATTATCGGAGAAGCGTCGGTATGTCAGCCAGAATGATGAAAGATCTCGAAAATCGTCTCGAAATTAGCTCATAGATCACTGCTCTATCACGCGCCGCATTGGATTCCCACTAATGCGCGCCTAAAACATGGAATTTTGCTCTTTAATAGAATCCTGTTTCCAGCAGGAAGTGTTACCAAATATCAATCTTATACCGAAATTTATTGGTTGCTTTTAATATTAGGTCGAATGGTACAACGAAATACATGATTTTTTCTTTAATTTTCTGAGGCAACATGAAAATGAACAATCTGCAATAATTTTAATTGAAAGAATAATAATAATAGAAAAATTTATATAATCAATCAGGGGTGAACCAGGATATAATTTATTAGCCGAAAATTAGTTATGTGGTGCTGCCCTATTGTGGAATATAGACCCTAATTTAATACAGGGTCTAATATAAGCATCCCCCGAAATTATCACAAATTTCCAAAGGCCAGTTCGCCCTTGAAATCATTGGATTTTGTTATTATAAATTTTTTTACTGAGAGAATTACATTTGGGAGCTATTATAGTGAAAATTGTCAGTTTCCAAATTGGAATTAGTACGTACATAATAAAGTGAATGGAAATAAGCTAAAGAATATTAACTGGAAAAAGTATTTGCATGGAAGTCGCTGGTGAAATCACGTAGTTTAGAGGGAATATCTTTTTAAAGAACAGATTTTCTTTGAACGTTCAACAAAGAAATCCGCTTAAGGTAGTCCTTTAATATCCTTTAAAATAGAAAATAACTGAATCTTGTCTTTTTGGTGTATGTAAGCTTCATGGATTTAGTCTTCCAGAATTTTATATGAACAATTTTAACAAGTTAGTGTGTCTTTTTATTTAGTAAAAATATCTAGAAATCCAATATTTAATATCTTAATAAAAAGTTCCCGTTATATGAAATTTATCGATTTTCATTAAAAATATTTGAATGGTGCATAAGGGATGAAGGCATAAATACGTACCACAATTTTGTTTTTATCCCCGATTTATTTTTATATTATTATTGAATGTTAGGATTGTAATAACTTGGAAGTTTTGAATCTTAGAATCTTAGAATTTTAGAATTTTCTAATTTCTCAGTTTTCCAGTTTTCCAATTTTCCGGATTTCTAATTTTTAGTTTTCACATTTTCAGTTTTCCAATTTCTCGATTTTTCAGGTTTCCAATTTTTTATATCATTTAAGTTTTC